TTGACTTTCCTCTTGTCCCACTATCGTGCTCAGTTGTCATTTGGATTTCAGTTATTCCTTTTGGTTATATTACCATTAATCACACCCTACCAGGCCTCCTACACCCTCCTCACCACTGATTTGGATCACTTGTTGTTCCTTGTCCCTGGGTTTGCTAGCACCACTACCTTTCCCCACATCTCCCCTTCTTCCATGTCCCCCCGGAACTCACGGTCCCGTTGTTTTCTCCTCCAGATTGTTCATCCAGCCTGTCTTATTTAGACAGACCTACAGAAATAATAACATGCACAAAAACAAGACACAGCAAAACCAAGCAACAATATACAATAAAACATCAACAACAACAAACCAATGACAAAAAAACAAAATAAAACACAACAAGAAAGAAAAGCTTGTAGTTAGTTCAAAGACTGTTTGTTGGCCTTTAGGAGTATTTTCCAGTCCAGTCTGATGGGGAACTATGCCCTGACCCCAAAGTCCACCTTCAACATTCCCTGGGGACCTCGCCGCTCCATTCCCTGGCTGTTCTGTTGCACCCCCTTAGTGTTTTGCCTTGGTGTGGCGGGATCAGATCGGGCGCAATTCCTACATAGCCAGTTCCCTGTTGATGTACTGCTGCAATAGTTTTTGAATGATCTTCAACAACATTTTGGTAGCCATTGATATTTATGATCTATTTTGATAATATCTGCATTCTGTTGGATCACCTTCCTTTGAAATGGGCAACAATATGGATCTCTTTTAGTAGGTTGGCCAGGTAGTCTTATGAGTTCTTTAGTGAGCACCTCCTGTGTTTCATCAGTTTGTTAAAACATTTCGTCAATATTCTGTCAGTTCCTGGAGCCTCGTTTTTCCCTAATACCTTCAGTACAACTTGGAATTTTTCCTTCAATAGTGCCAGTTCTTCATCTCATGCTACCTACTGAATATATGAAGCCCAAACCCAAACTCACTGTCATTGAGTCAATTATGATTCATAGCATCCATGTGGGACAGGGTAAAACTGCTCCTGTGGAGTTCCAAGACTGTAGCTCTTTACTGGCTTAGAAAGCCTCATCTTTCTCCTGTGCAGTGGTTGGTGATTTTGAACTGCTGACCTTGCAGTTAGCAGTTCAACAAGTCAACAGTACTCTACCATGACTCTTGGTTCTTTCTGATACAGGGACTCTGTATTCTTTTATATTCTTTTGATGCTTCCTACTTTGTTTATTGTTTTGCCTATTGTTTGCAGGTGCCGTCTGGTTGGCTCTGACCCATAGCGACCCTATGAATAACTGAGGGAAACACGGCCAGTCATGAGCCATCCTCACAATTGCGTCTATGTTCGTCAGCCCATCACCACAGCCGCAGTATCAATCCATCTCACTGAAGGTTTTCTTTTTCGCTGCCCCTGTACTTTACCAAACATGATGTCCTTTCCAAGAACTTGCCCCTCCTGACAATATGTCCAAAGTATGTAAGACAAAGTCTCCCCATCCTTTCCTCTAGAGGGCGCTCTGATCGTACTTCATCAGAACAGACCGGTTTGTCGTTTTAGCAGTCCCTGTTACTTGCAGTACTCTTTCCCAGCCGCACAATTCCAATGCCTCGATTCTTCTTCAGTCTTCTTAATCATTGTCCAACTTCCACATGCATATGAGGCCATTGAAAATATCTTGGCTTTGGTCAGGAGCCCCTGCGTCCTCAAAATAGCATCCTTCTTCTTTAATAGTCTCAGGACATTTTGTGCAGCAGATCTGCCTAATGCACTGCATCCTTTGACCGCTTGACGAAACTCCATGAGCATCGATTGTGGATCCAAGCAAGAGAAAATCCTTGACGACTTCACACTTTTGTCCATTTATCACGATGTTACCTATTGGTCCAGTTGTGAAGATTTTGGCCTCTTTTACATTGAGCTGTAATCCGTACTGAAGGCTATAGAATCTTTTAATTATATTGCAACTTGAGTTTTTTTCTGCCGGTTCTTTCTAAGAAATGTCAAATGTGTTATTCCCTTATAAATAAATATAATTTAAAGATTTAAAATTGAACTTCCATCACTTCTTAGTCCCTTTTATTGCTCCCCCCACCCTTTTATAGAGTTGATGATTATGTTACACACTGAAGCATCTTTAGTTTTTGTGAACTGGAGAGAAGAGTTATGGTACACTTTTGACTTAAGGCTGAATCTCTATAGGACCCAGATACTTCAGTTTGTGTATTGATACAATGATTTGGAAAATAATGGTGGAGCAGTGTGTATAATCTCAAAACCACTGTTAGGGAGTTTCTGGACCCAATAAATAGGCACACACAAACTGGCAAGGACTCTGCTTTGAAAGCAATAGTACATGGCAAAGAGAGACCATTTATCGGGGCAAACAGACTAAAGTCTTCTTCTCTGTGTCTGACAGAAATGGTCAAAACTTTTCAGGAAGCAGTCTTTGAGATGCTTGGATAATTTGTGGATGGAATATGGTGGGGGGACAGTCTTAATTAATTAACAGGAAAAAAGGAAAGAAGTGGGAAAATGATTGCACTTTGCCTGTTGGTGAGGATTTTCAGCAATTACATAGCCTTTGTTTTCACATTCAAAGTCATATCCGAGGTGATTTCTCACTGTCGTAGAAATCATTCGACGTTTTAAGCAAATCAAGTGAGTGGACAAAGCCTGGATTCTCAGATGAGGATGTAGAAAATTAGAGTGCATTTTCCACCGTGGCAGCTTCCTCACAGGGTAGTTCAGGTACCTACATATTCTGGCTACTGTCTCTGTCACTTTGGGCAGGCTACAGAGGTCAAATGGGTGTTAACCGGCTTATTTCATAATGTCAACCAGTAAGACAAAATTTATAGTTGAAAGAGAAACAAAATGGAGTTCAGGAAGGATCTTGTATATCAAAAGAACCAAACTACATGACCTATGCTGTCCACCTATTACCTGGAAGCATTCATGCTTTTTGCTTTAAGTGTTATTTGGTCTGAATGGATGCATTAAATTGCCCTCCAGAAGAAATGAAAGGTCACCATGACCCTTTCTCTTGTTCTACTGTTGGCCAAGGCTGCTGCGTAAGAACAGCCATGCTGCAGTACCACAACACACACCACCGCTCGGATCTGAGATATGGATGAGGTACCCAAGCATGGGGCACAGTCAACTAAAACCCGAGGTGAAAGGTTACCCACCTTCTCAAAGTTGCCCCTAGACCCTGAGCGGATTTTCAGGCAAGGATAAGTGCTGATCTGAGTGAAGGGAAAGGTACAGCTCCCGCTCCAGGTCAGCAGTGCGCTTACATTCACAAGCCAACAGCAGCACGAGTGGTAGCACTTACGTCTTGGTTGGACATTTCCCAGTAAGGTCTTTCTCCATAGGACATCACCTCCCACATGACAATGCCGTAGCTCCACGCATCACTCGCAGAAGAGAATTTCCTATAGGCAATAGCTTCTGGGGCTGTCCACCTTATGGGAATCTTTCCACCCTGAAAAACAAATGGAAGATTTCTCAGCTGACTCCCTAAGTATGACAAGACAATGCGGCCTCGGTTTAAGACATCTTTTGTTAGAAAAATTTAAGCATTCCATAACAGTGTTGGCCTCTGAAAGGAAAAATCAAAAGGGAACCAGAATATTGTGTTAAACGTCAGAATTTTCCCTATAAAGCTTATTCAGTGAGAACAACTTTATTGGGAAATAAGTCACACTTCAGAAATACTTTATTTCATTCATTAGAGAAATTTATTTTCAATTTAGATTCACACAATTAAATCCAACAGCATGCCATTTGAAGAAAGTTCCAGATTATGGGGTATTAAAACCAAGTATCCCTTTAACATTCCTTACACCCTATTTGAATTCATAAATAATGATCATAAGTTCTAATTCCAAAGAAGACGTGGTTAAATACACAGCCAAAATATTCTGCACCAGTTCAGAGCTTCTGAGAGCTTGATTTCCTTTCCTTCCCTTTGAGTTATGATCACATTTATTTTAAACCAAACCAAGCAAGCCCTTAACGTGACACAAGAGCACCTGAGAAGGAGAATCTCCCTTTGGAACGCTTTAAGCTTGTCGATACTTCTGTTTGTCACTGTTCAAGTTAGCCTTTGAACACACGAAAGAGATGAAATGAAATTGCATGAATTTAATCTGTACGGCTCAGATATGAAAGGCGGCCATTGTGTTGTACTGTACTTAATTTTTAATGAACGTTTATTATGTCTCATCTATTAAAACACTCTATGAATCCCCCTTTATTGTGATGAAAAAAATAAAGCAATCCATCCATTTGATGTGTAATCTTGGAAATCTCTGCCCTGTATCTTCGGCGAACAAGCGCGTCCTGGGTTCCACTAGATGGCGGAAGAGAACAGCGAGCAGCTCCGAGAGGTGCTTCTCGCACCAGGAAGACGGCTTGACTGCTGTTCGCAGCAAATCGCGATCCACTGCTTGAACCCACCTCAGAGCTGGGTTAAAACAGTAGGATTGTTTTATCTTTATCAGCAGTTTCATGGTTACAACATCGGATCACCCACTGTGAGCAAAGTCTGGCGTTAGGGCGCAAGGGTGGAAAGAAAGAAAGATGGGGTGCGTGCTTCCCCTCCTTGCTGAACTTGTTCAACATCTTCCAGCGGGAAGCCATTCACAGTCATTTAACCGCTGTATGTTGAATAATCCGAACACTACTTGGAGAGAAGTAAGCTTCCTCCGAATTAGGAACAATTTTGTTTTATAGGTAAAACGAGGACATTGATGGAAATCTCATTTCAAAAACTTGTAGCTGTGGAAGATTATGAAGGCCCATTTTAAAGGCTAGCAAACTGAGCCCAGAGATATTTAGAAACTAAGAGTCTCCTATCTCTTAATGTAGTAACTATGTAACACTATTGTAATAGCACCAATATTATGTGATGTTGATTAAAAAAAGGGGGGGATGTGCAAAACTAAAGACAACTATCAGAACTGACTTGATGGTAGTGAATTGAGTTTGGTGTGCACATCTAGGTATCATGACAGTTGTCAGGAGAGGCTGCCTGAAGCTTGCCGTTTTCACCATTGGAGCAATGGTTAAAAACAAAGCATCAAACTCAAACCCAAACAACCCCAGGCTCACTGCCACTGAGTCTACTCCCAGTCATGGCAGCCTTAGGGAAGAGATCAGAAGGTTTGGACCATCACATTTAACTTACAGGTTAGTGACACAAGTTTGTTCAAAGGGTGAGGCCATGGGGGCTTATTACGGTTCATTCTTCAACCCCAAATAGGTTGCAGGAAAAATACAAAACCCACAGCTAAATTCCAATTTCAGATAACAAATGATATTTTAGTAGAAGTAAGTCCCTTGAAGGAATACTTTCCCCCTATCCCTATAGTATATCTTAAATATTGTATGGGGCATCTTTAAGATTAGTCATTGCCTATCTGAAATTCAAACTTAACAGGGAATTCCATGTAATTGTTGACTAACTCTGGCAACCCTAAATCAAAGCATTAAAAATTGTTAGACATGCAACTAATCCCTCAAATGGAATAACAGTAGCACCTTGGAATCTGAAAACATCAACTATGGTCTATAGTGCCATGAGGGCAAAGCCACTTGAGGTAGTTAGTTTATTGTGCCAACCTGGCAGATAAACACATGTGGGGTTAATTGAAGGGCGGAGGGATACATGGCTCGCTGAGCCTCGCCATTTGAGTTCTAGGGTCTCTTGCTTTGTGATGGTTGCACCAGGGTGCAGCTGCCTTAGCCAGTTCCCTGCTTCAGCTTGGAAGGCTGACTTCCTGACATTCCTGAGGAGAAGCCACATGGACCTACCCAGATGCAGGCCTGGGTGCTGGAGCACCCACGTGGAGACCCTGCCAGCACTGAGGTGTTTACACATTCACTGATTCGGCTTTCCCCCTGCAGTTGGCATCATTGTGTCTGTGTTGTGGGATGGAGGAGGACTTTGTGGATTGGTGTCGGACATATGGGTTAATGTTGGACTTGTGGGCTTGGGCAGCACTGGGTTGGGATGTTTTCTTGATGTGCACTTACCCTTTATATAAAAGTCTCTCTTATGCATGAGTTTCTGTGGATTTGTTTCTCTAAAGTACCCAGACTAACACACCGCTCCTGTAGGAACATACTCTGCCCATGGCCCCAAAGACTACTGTGTGCTATGAAGTGCCTCGGCCTTGCGGCTGTGAGCAGCGAAGTCACCTTTGTCAGATTGAGGTTGTCTCACAGAGGACACAGTTCCAGAAAATAAACATGTGACCTCAGGGTAGATGCCATAGCAGCAATTTCATCTGCAATTTCTGACTACGGATTTTTCTTTGACTGTTTTGGCAAATATATGTGGAAGTGCAAGTTGCTAGGCCGATAGGCTTTACCTTCACTAAATATTTATTGTGTTCTAATAAGACAGGCTACAAAATGGAGTTAAGAATTATTTTATGCCCATTCACTCACAAATGATAACTCATCTAAGTAATTCCTACATAAATTTGTTTGGTATCACCTATAACTGTCACTTCCTCTTGGTGACTTCATTTTTTCTCCTCAAGGGGAAGGCGGTACGGAACATTTGATTAATGGGATGATTATACTTATTAAAATATCAAAGTATGATTTCCCAAAATGTGTCATCTTTTAAAAAGGCAGTAAATATTTCCATGAAATTCTATTCTAAGTGTCATCTTATGGATGTGTGGAAATGGAAAGTATTAAAACAAATAAAATGTGAAAAATGAGATAAGTTTTAATGTAGGAAATAGAATTCTAATTAGCAACAATGTATGTTAACATGAGCCTGACAGGTTATACAAACTAGAATGATTCTGAACATGTCTGGGGTAGAGAAAAGGAAGCATTCAAATATTTTTTTTTCCAGGGTAAAAAGTAATTTTCTAAATCTCATTGAACTCCACTTCAGTTTATCTGAGAACTTCTGGATACAGACTGGATGGAGTTTACATTCAAGGACAGGCGAAGGCAGAAAGGAAGAGGTCTTTCAGACTCTCTCGTGCCCTCTATCCTGTTTCCTCTCCTAGAGGAAACAGAAACGTAGCTCTCCTTTTAGTAGAACGGACTAACTTGAGCTTCTGCAGCTTTCTCTCATCTACATGGCCCTGTTACCAATGATCTTGAATCATAGACAGAGCGATCAGACGAAGGTACTTTTCCCCCCGGGCATTAAACACCAGATGTCTGGTTCAGGTTTCACGGTGGAACACGTAGTAGTTTAGATCTAAAGCCACACTCATGGAAACACTCTATCCTGCTTTCCCATATGTTCATGAATTAAAAAAAATAACAAAAATGCACATCAAAGTGACTGCATGTAACTTAAAAAGCCTCCTTGTTCCCTAACACCCCTCTGATGCAGCAAACGCAGTCACTTGGGGCACAAAGGGGAACAGAGAGTCAGCAAACTAGCTTGCTACTGAAATGGCTGCCAGACAACCTTTCTTGGCCGTTTGGTTGAAGTCACCTTAGGAGCTTGTTGTGCCTGTAGGCGGAGACGTGAGAGGGAGCCAGGACCCCCTTTGTTTTTCTGCATCCTTCGGTGTGGAATCATGGTACAAGTATATTCAACTAACATTTGGGCTTTACAATTTAACCCTTTAATCATCAGAGCAGTGACGACACAAATTCAAATGTAGTATGGTCATAGTGTCTAAGACTGAAAGAAAATACAAAGATTCCATAGAAAAGCACTAAAAAAATAATCACTGCCATCGAGTAGATGCCTGGTCGATGCCTTTGTCCAGCATAGTGACCCTGAGGACAGAGCAGCACTGCCTCTGTGAGTCTCCGAGGCCGGAATGGTTTACGGGAGTAGAAAGCCCAATCTTTCTCCCACACAGCGACTGGTAGTTTCTGAACTGCCAACCTTGAGGATGGCAGCCCAATGCGTAACCACTAAGCTACTCATAGTACGGCAAGAATACCTAAAAGCTCTCTTCTTTCTTATTAACTGGATCTGATGGCTAGCTAAAAAGCAGTAACTTGATAGCCAGCAATCTGCTTGTAGACTTTCCTTTTCTCAATCTATCCCTGTAGATTTCAAACTTAATATGAGCTACAGTACAGAATATCTCTATCTATATGTAGATATATTATGCTTAAAGGGTTATTTAAAGCATGTTCTTCTTTTTCAGTGAAAATTGTTATTCTCATCCAATATTGAGTCACAGATATTTTCTTAATTCACATGTCGCCACCCGCATCAAACAATTTCATTAACAACCCTTCAGATTCACACAAGTGCATGTATGTCAGCTACCCCAGGCAAGAGATGCACTTAGGAAACTGTGCAATAGGAATCGCTACTTGCCAGGAGGGCAGCAGTAAGCACTTCTCTTCTGAGGGAGTCCTTGCTGCTACAGGCCCCCACACTGAAGACCCAGGACTCAGAGGACAAGATATGTACTGGCTTTGTCCACCATGAATGTTGTCACTCCATCGGCACAGTTTCTATGGTCTCTTCAAGGGATA